GATAGCTCTGAGGGCTGCAGGTGTGTTGGCAGATAAACTAGTGGGCGTCTGTGGAATCGTAGCTCAGAGTTAATTCACTTTCACAGTTGCCAAACAAATGAATAAAATATGATGCTCCAGTTTGTGAAGGGGGTATTTCTGTCAACTGAATGAGAAATTGTGGGGAGACAAATTATTCTCACACACACACACATACTGTACATTTAATCAAGTTGGCCCATTAGGTAACCCAGCGTGTTGGCATAAAGTACAGTAGGTCCTCAGAGATTTGGAAATATTAACATCTGCACTGATTGAAATAGGACAAAAATGCTCTGTGCAGTCATTTGCTTTTTAAATATTATCCCCCATATACGGATTTCCACAACTTTATTTACGATCCACTGTTACTTTCCATCATATTTTCTCTCCTTTTAAAGGCCCAAACTGCTACAGAAATACAGAAAAGCAAACATGCAGCCCAATGTGATAATTCTGAACAAATACTCATGAAATATTTTCAAATATTTGTACATAATAAAGCCGGCACACTTCTGGGAAATCAGCAGTCGCACAAACACGCAAACAAACACAAGCCCCTGTCCATTATAGGTCGCATGAGGACAGTAGCAGGGAGGAATAAAACCATAGTGACGTGGTTGCTGGTGACAGTGACACTGATGAAGATATTTACCGTAAACTCTCATCGGCCTTGGCTGCGGAGGAAAGGATGCTATAACTCTTCTCTTCATTGCTACACTTGTTCTAGTCTGAGCAAGTCTGAATTTCATCTGACTGACAGAAGTAATCAGATGCTTTATTTAAAGCACTATTAGCATTTATTAAGTATTTTTTGTATCTTTAATTTATTCTGGTGACAAACTTGTGTTTATAGAAACATCCAATAATTCTAGTAAATTGGTGCAGACTTTTATGGTCAGTATTCACATGTTGGATTGAAGGCAGCAGGTTGTGTTGTCTGCCATAGTGTCTTATTTTTAATGTTACGACTAAGAGTCCTGAGGTTGAACAATTCTAAACCCTACAGATAAAGGCCCAAAAAAAAAGTAGAATAAAATATTGTGAAAAATATTTTATTACAGCGAAACTCCCACATGCAAAGTTTTATATAAAGCCCTCCTGAGTCCAGCCAGTTGAAAGAACAGATGAATGTGTTTAAAACTCATTAGATGCCAAAACACAGCACAGTGGTTTGTAATAGTCACAGAAAAGACTGGAAAGGTATCACTGTGGCAACTGTTTCATTACCTGTTGTGACGATCTGGAGGTTAAATAGCAGAAATATTGTTACATAATTAAGTGGGAAACACTTATGGCCAACTGGCCAATGCGGCACCTTGTCCGATTTTCCTATTTTACCAGCAAATGCACTGCATTTATGAAGTAGCAATGCCAGTTTATGGGACCTTAAGTTAAATAGAACATCATCAGTATTTTGAGCTAAATGCATCGTTTATGATGAACAACAAACTTCTTGTCTTTAGGTTGGTTTTGCAGGAATTATATTCAAGTCCTGTTGAAGCTTAAAAATGGAAGCCAGTTCTCCTCACAGTTTTGCCAACTTTTTGATATGATGAAATTATATATGGTAACTTGATAAAACCAATTCTGAACAGCCCCTCGGTTTAATGTCTGACTTTCCCAGTACAGGGACTGAATGGAGCTTCTACAGCTACATTTGGTCTCTAGATGTGTATGTCACTGGAGGAGGAGGGAGAGGGGCACACATACAAATTCATGTACATAGATATACAGTAGATATAGACAGATGTAAATGTTTATTACTTCTGTTGTGCAGAGCTGATTTTATGTGAGTAAAACCTTACTCTGCAAAGTAACAAAATATAGCTGCTGATAAAAAGTACTTGACTAAAAAGCACAGTATTTTCACTAAAATGTGATGAAGTGCATGTCAGATTAACCATGTTATAGAGCCCCAGGGCTAAAATTGATGTAGAAATACGAGTGAGCACCATATAAACTAAATTAAATTCCCTACAATAATTGTAATTAATCAGATTAATTTGACCCAGGTGGTGTCTAGTGACGGAGTGCTGGGGTTCCTAGGGTGTCTGGGGCAGCTCCGCCTTTTGGAGTATAGTATAAAATAGCATTAAAGGAACATTTTGGAAACATGCTTATTCACTTTCTTGCTAAGAATTCAATGAGAACATACCACTGCTATGTCAGCATGCTAAATATGAAGCTAAAGCTAGTGGCTGGTTATCTTAGCCTGGCATAAAACCTGAAAGCAGGGCAAAGAGCTGTGTAAGCACTGTCCAAGGGGGCCATTGTTTTAATGCTTCAGTTTTGTATTGAGCTGTGAAGGTGATGATTGTTGGATTTTGTTACCATTGGATGGAGTCATGCTAGCTATTTCCTCCTGTTTTCAGTCTATCTACTACGCTAACCTTGCTGCCAGCTGTAGCCTTGTAGTAACAAACCGGGTCAAAGAAGTACGTGAGCACTGTTGTTGAGGAAATCTATTCAGTTACCCTCTACATCTGCTGACTGACAAGGGCAATGTGTTTACAGGCTGAAGAACTTGAATTTTCAGAGACATTACACACAAACCTACATTTCCCTTTCCTTGTTTTGCTGTTCTTTTCCGCTTTATTTCTGTTTCTCTCACACCCTCTCTCTCTCTCTGACAGGACTTGCTGGGCAGTGCGACTCAGATTGGTGTGAAATCGCCGCCTAACAGGCGGGAAATTGGCTCTGTTATTTTTGGAGCGAAGTCATGGGGGACCGTCGGACCATCATCCTCTCTCTAATGAGCAGGTGATGGAGCCGGATGGCCTCTCAAACACCAGACACACGGCAGATATACAGATGAAAGTGGATTGTGAGAGGCAGCCCAGAGAGAGAGCAAGGAATGAGTGAGGTGGCATGATGAGATTTCTTATGGCTAATATGAATATTGCCATCAGATTAGCCGAATATTAATAACCCCTGTTGTCATCCTCCACCCCTGCAGAGCTGCATTTGGTCTGTGCAGTGTGTGTTTACACTGAGATGATGAAAGTCAGGGGGGGGTTGGTTGGTTGTGGCCAGACACAAACCTGTCTTTTTCTAGAACCAAACATCACCAAAAGCTGTGGTTCCCAACCCAGACAAACACAAGCAGCCCCTCACCAACACCTCATGTCATGCTCCAGATGTCTAACACTGATGGATTATAAACTAGATGATTGATCACTGTAATCATTCCTCCTGTTCACACTGGCCTTGACAAGATCTCATCCCAACTCAGCTGTGAAGCAAGTGATGAGGGATAAATCCACAGGTACCAATCTGTGGAAACAAAGCTTTATGAAGTTCAGCCTAAGCTAAAATGAGGCTTCAACAATCTGACTTCCTCCCCTGAATTCCTTTTTTCCCCCTTACTGAGTTACATGAAGGGACATCAACACAAAGAGGAAATACTGGACTAGAATGATACTAATTTAATGCACCAAACTCCAGATAGCTGAAGACTCACATTACTGTACCTTTGAACTTTGAGTCATTTGCACACAGTGACAGTTCTTCTCCTATTACTTACACATATTTCTTTGGGAAGTGATCTCATCACAGCCAGCGTGGATGGAGGAATCATTACATTCAACCAGTAACTTCTGATACTGGAGTACGATCATTATTGAAATAATGCAAACCGGTTTTTATGGCCTGGTCTCCCTGACCAGCTGACTGTGACTCAGGTTACTGGGAAGTGTCTCCTGTGCAGTCAGTCCATCATAGCTAGTAGTTAGTGGGACAATAAAAATACACATTTACAGTATAATTCTATTTATTTCCTCCTTACACATTTGTGGATGCCTTATTTTATAAATTATGTATTTTGTTAGTAGAGCTGAGTCAAAATCTTTCTAGAAGTCACCCCTGGGGTACAAATACCTCTGGAAAGAAATCACTGCTGTAAGTTGGTTAATAAATGACTTCTATTTCTGTATTATACAAACAAACATTTGACCTGTTTCACTGCAATTTTGCAAAACAGGCATTTTTACTTTCTTCTTGTAATACACATTTATGTGAAAAAATTCCAACACCCAAAGGAAAGACAATTTCTCCAAGTGACTGTGTAATATAGAATGATTCATATGCGAACAGCTGGCTCAGTCTTTGTGCGTCAAACTGTACAGTACACAAATGTAGTACTGGACTTGGCCTGTGCAAAGCATGTGTGTATATGGTGAGATACTGGAAGTTATGGGTGTTGGGAGAGTAAGGCGAAGCAGAAAAGTGCCAGGCACAGTCTTGTCACCTGTAGCAGAGAACCAGCAGATGACTGTAAAGTACATACAATACACACTCCGCTACACACTGCAGTAATACTCTGTGTATTCGGGGTTCAGACTACTACATCATTTGCAACTCATGCAGTATTTTTGGTAGTCTTCAGTTTATTTTAGTTGACATAATTTCACATCGACGAGCAGTTCCACTCATGTCAAAACCGTGGCATACATGTGACAAATCCTCCAGGAGGACACACATGGAGAAGCCTTCCTCATGACTGGCTGAGGGAGGGCACATCACTGGTTTCTCTGGTTTAACTGGGGCTGACTCATGGCCACACACAGCATTCATCACAGTCCATAAATTCAGACAACAGTGAACTGATGCAAACACACCACATATTCCAGGCAGAGCCCTCAGGTCCTGTAGAAGGAGTCTGTGTCTTTTGTCCAAACTGGAAGGTTGCAGCAGTTAAACACTGCCCCCTGCTGTCACACACACTCTATAGCCGTTCAGAACCGAAGCAGTAATGCAGTTGACCGATGGTCGTATTTTAGCAACTATCAAGCAGTAATGCAGTTGACCGATGGTCGGATTTTAGCAACTATCTTTTTTGATTGTTTGTTTGTTTTACTTTATCCTCTTTATAAACAGCACATCTACTGATTTAACAAATGAAGTTTAAGAAGTAGAACTCATGAATTCAGCAGTGACAGTGTGATTTGGCATCATGGCAATATGTGCGACAATGTTGAAAGTTCACTTTGACACCATTTTAATCATTTTTTTCTCATCAATTTACAGACTGATCCATCATCATCATATTTAACCCATAATTCAAGGCATTTGTACTAGTAAAGTCGTCCAGTGTTAGACAGTCTGGTCTGTGTACAGCTGGACTCGTATTCAGTTTGGTTCGGTCTCATGGCGTGCCAGTGCAGGGGGCAACGTGGTCCCACAAGGGCCTTGGAAGTGGAACCTGAAACACAAAGAGAAAACATGGCCTACACTGTGTATGTGACATACATTAATGAAAATCTTACATGCGTGTGATAAGTAATGAGAAATACTTGAAGCGCATGGTGGCTGGTGTGTCTTCCATGTTAAATTCGGCCACAGGAACACCTCTGGCTGCCACCTGAGGAGCAAACATGGCCGCTGGGTGCACAACTGATGAAGTGCCGACCTGCAAATTAGGAATTTGGAGAATTAGGTGGTCAAAGTTAATTATGATCTAGATCTAAAACAAAAACTCTTTAAACCAGATCCGATGTGTTTTTCTGCAGAACGCTGCATCATTTTCCTGGAGTCTCCTGTGGTGCCAGTCCCCACAGAACTGAAAGAGGACGACTGGGGTTTTTTTCACTCAGGGCAAATGTGTGTGTGAATCCAGCTTTAATCAGACTCTGCTGCATCGATTGTGAAGAAAATAATCGGTAGGTTAAAAGAATTTGTCATGCACACACACACATACCACAAGGCAGAGGTCACAGCTGTCCAGCACTTTCTCTGAGCGGGTGAGGATGTCGGAGTCCAGTGTCTCTCCAAACCAAACCACAGCTGGTCTCAGGAGACCGTGACAGCCTGTCTGTTCACACCTGAAACACAGGCAGAGCCCTCGCTATGCCAGAACAAATAACCTCATCTGAAAAGAGCAGAGCACTGAAAACATGAATGTGCTGTACCTGGGAAGCTGCTGAACAGGGATCTGGGCGTCATCTGTTTCTGGGTCTGGTGCTCTGAGGAGGTGGTTTGATAAAAGAAGTTATGAGCACTGAAAAGGGCAGTTCCACCCAAATACACTCTACATTCCCAAACAACGTTAAAAGATGAGCTACGTTCAGCTGGATTTCCTGAATCCAAAGCATGTTTCCCATTGATTTGAAAATTTTACTTAAAAAAAAAAAAATCATAATTCAGCCACTGCTAACATAAATACTGATGATCAGCCTGAAAACCAGAAAGTGACCTACTGTATATGGTGGTTTTGAATAAAAATGGTCAGACAGTACATGATCAGCTCTGATATTCATTTTTTATTTCAGCTCATCAATCCCTTCATGTATTCTTGCAGCTGACAGAGGAACATTTGTCTGTTATCAGAAACATCCATTTTAAATGTCAGATAAATGGCAAAGCGGCTTGTAAAGTGACATTTCATTTGAGCAACAGTTTCCCTTTCCACTGTCATCAGGTGTTGTTTAGCTCCTGATGTCTGACAGACAGAGCCGCAATGTTCTCTCTGAGATCAAATGGATATTTCTTGTGAGAAATTCATATATTGTGGAGGAAACTAGCCAAATTCATCAGATGAAGCTCTTACCCTTTGCCCTTGAGAGCGGCACAGACGGGGCTGTTATAATTAGCTGCTTCATGGCCACAGGTCAGGCAGCGTGTTCTGAACAGGCTACCTGGGTTTACAAAAAACAACGAAACAGATCAGTGCTTTTGAAATATCCAATAAATTTCGTTCCACTTCATGATTGTGTCCCACTTGTTGTTGATTCTTCACAAAAAATTACAGTTTTATATCTTTATGTTTGAAGCCTGAAATGTGGCAAAAGGTCGCAAAGTTCAAGGGGGGCCGAATACTTTAGCAAGGCACTGTATCTAATGAAAGAGATGGGTAGACAGTACAAATGGAAGGACCATGATTAAATTTTCAGATTAGCTACAGCTAATGATCATTCCATTATGGATACTATTTTTTTCCTCAAGTAATTAATTAATTGATAGGACCTATAAAATATAGTGAAAAATTCACATTTCAATGTACTGAAGTTCACAGATGTTATATTTACTGTCAGAACAAACAAAGCTTTAGAAGCTGGAATCAGAGAATTTTTGCCACAATTGTTGGTTCTTAGTTCAGTCGATTCCTGCAGTTATTCCATCCATGCTGGCATTAAGTGTCTTCCCTGTTTCCTGCTCACCGTGGAGTTCCAGGATGTTTTTGGATCCAGCACGGCGATGGAGCTCATCGATGTTCTGAGTGATGACGGTAACCGTGCGCCCCTGTTTGCCGAGTCGTTCCTCAGACTCAGCGATGGCCAGGTGAGCGGGGTTGGGATTTTTTGTGAGCATGACTTCTCGGCGGTAGTGATAAAACTCCCAAACACGAGAGGGGTTCCTGGAGAAGGCCTCTGGGGTGGCCAGGTCCTAAGAAAGAGTGAGGGGACAGGATGTGGCTGTTGCCATTCACCAGCACAGATCAAAACGTTACCAGCAGTTTATTATCAAAACATTTAGGCTGCATAAACACAAACACTCTGAGTCAGGACTATGTTTTGCTGTAGTCAAACTTTCTGTGCACTTCCTGGGAACGACTCTGAAATGAGTTTTTTTGATTAGTGGACACTATAATAATTTTATAATAATAAGGGGAGCGCAATGCTCACTTTTTATTTTCTAATACTTGAAATAATTAAAATATTTTTATTATTCATTACTGTTAAATAAATGTTAATTTAAGTTCAGCTAATTTGTGCCCGATTTGTTATTGTTGCATTTTATCTGATGCAAAAAGAAAAACCATGCAATCAGCATTATATATCAGCCATCACCTCCCCACCCTCTGAAGATCTGCAGCTGAAAATCCACATCAGTCGACCACTCCTTGACAAGTACACACTCTTAAAGCAAAGTACAGCAGAGGACAGTTGTTTATTAAGTTTCCTTTGAGTGTACAACTCTCAGAATTATACAGTGACATGTTTAATATGGTATCCCGCAGTTTTTTCTCAGAGGTTATGCTGGGGCTCAAACACATTAAAAGCCTGATAGTCTGAATTAACTTGTGCTGTAGAATGTTTTAACAGTACATGTTGTAGCTGAATCATTATGCACTTCTGCACTGTTAAGTAGAAAGTAGGACAAAAATAAGTCAGTCAACACAGCCGACGCTTCCCTCCTCACAGCAGCTGACCTACTGAAATATGTAAAAAGTTAGTACTTTCCTGTTGTTTATAAATGAAGTCACCCAAAGAAACTAAAGGAGCACATTATGTTCATTCTGACATCTGGACAGGTAGTGCTTACCTGTGCTTGCCATTTTCTCCAGAAGCCTCCTGCTCCTCTGAAGGTGGGGACTCCACTCTCAGCACTCACCCCTGCTCCAGTGATGATGGCGATATTCTTAGCTTTGGAGAAAATCTCTCTGAATGCTGCTAGGTCTGAATTTAAAACCACCCAGAAACACAAATATGTGACATAAAATGACAACAGTGAAAGCTGGTGGACTTGTGGATGATATTAGGTGCATTTGAATGTGAAGCATAGTGAGTGAATAAAAGTTTACCTGAACTGGGTCTAGCCATGCCATGGACGCCCCAGGGTTTTCTCAGGTGGGCATACAGGTGTGGGTTTATTATGAGTCTACTGGTGATTTGCCGCACAATCATCAAGATATGGCATCTAGGGAAGAAAAACATGACACTTCCATCTCTGTTTACATTTAAGACTTTTGCACACAAAGCTAGGTTCTTCAAACACTAACAGAAGGACCAGGGAGATTCACAGGCACTAAAATGAAAGTAAGAATCCCTTCCAAAATAATGCTTCGAATAGTGTTTATTTAAAGCACAGTGAACTGAAAAAACCTTAATAAAATCAAAGGCCTATTGCCTTTAAAACAGATGCACCTGCAGATAGTTCTCAAACTACTTAGCATGTCAGTTGTTCCAGCATCTGGGAGAACCTGCCATCATTGACTACATGAACAAACTAAAGTAGAAGTAGTGGGAAACACGGTTAAAATGCGTTTTCTTGTGCAGCAGATGGCATGTATTTGCACCAGCCTTCAGTAAAACACATTGTGAATATGAAAATGGTTTCAAAACTGAAGTGAGTATTGTCACAAGGCCACATCAAGGGTTTCCTCAAAGTTTGGCTTTTCATTTTCCATTTACAAAACCGATGCTTAGGTCTGCTGAAGTTTAAAAGCGATGATTATAATAGGTGATAGGTACAACATGGGGGCAACTTGAAGAGTGATGATGTTTGTTCCTAGAAAGGTCAATGTAGCTTCACAAAGCTCAGAGGTCACCAGAGATGATAACTAATCCTAAATTCCTAAACTGGTTGCCAACCGCCGTTAAAGAAGAAGAAGAAGAGAGAGAGGAGGAAGAAGAAGAAGAAGAAAAAGAAAAGAAGACGAAGAAGAAGAAGAAGAAGAAGAAGAGGGAGAGGAGGAGGAAGAAGAAGAAGAAAAAGAAAAAAAGACGATACTAGAGTTCACATAAACAATCACCGCTCATTAGGTATATTTGCTAATTAAGACGAGAACACGGCAACAATCTAAGAACGGACGGTCCTCGGACGCAGTTAGCACAGCTTGCCGTAAGCTAGCAGGAAGGTAATGCTAGCACTAAGCTAACATACTAGTGCTGAATCAATCAGCAGCATCACCTTACGGTGACGGCAGTGTGTCGTGTCGTGCCGACCCTTGTATGTTTCCGGGTGTGCGTTAGGTCCTTTGTAAGATCTGTAGTTTGCTAATGCTCACTACCTGTCAAATAGAGACAGCAAGTTGATCAGCTGCAGGACCAGGAACTCTCATTCAGCAGCTTAGGTTGGATTGGTGTGGCTGTGAGGATATGAGCCTATCAAGAAGGGCAGCGAGGTAAATAACAACCCCTTTACAAATATAGAACCAGCAGAGGGAGCATTTGTTCTGCAGTGGTCTTTGTACAGTGTGTGTAACGTTATTATGAAGATACTGTCTAAGGACAGGTTACACTCCTGTGAGCCACTGCCATCTGCAGAGCACAGCTTCCATGTGAGAGAATGTTGTGTTGAATGTAGTCTAAGTTGTTTTTGACCTCACCCAAGTTCAGTTAAATAAACTGCCTGAGTCCTGGTACTTCTTTCATCATTTACTTAGAATGAGATGGAAAATTCATCCTGTCAGTGGACTGAACCTGGGGCTTGTGAGGCCTCAGGGTGGTTGCCGACCTTGTTGGTGATACAACCTTGCATAAAGACACCAACAGCAACCACACAAGCATTCTCTAGACAGTGCAAAAGCCATGCAGAGCACCAGGAAACAGCAAAACAATAGTTCATTAATACAGCGACAACTCTTTGGCAACACAAAACAACAAAACGCTGCTATGTGATAGTGATTATAACCATTTTTGACACATGCAGAGCAGCATGAGCTATGACATAAAGAATATGATAAACATGAACTGATAAAGTGTTAAAAGATCCAGCTCTGTTAGTAAAATGTTAAAATCTTACTCCCAAAACATAGACCACACAGCACAGCGTTTATGACACAACTACATCATACCACATTGTTAATAAAGTACTAGTAAATACACCATAGAGAATGGAGGCAAGCCATGCAAAACCGACCATCTGGCAACAGGCAAAGGACATGGGACAAGTTAGTCAGTAATAACAAAATTAGCACATCATATTTGCCTAGATTGCTGCACTGATGGTACTGGGCTTTGAGTTACTGCCACTTTGCTGTAGTCCTCCTCTGTTGTGACTTGTCTGGAGTAATTGTGTGTTTGAGTCTCCCTTCTCCACTAGAGGCCAGCAATGGATTAGCTGAGCATAAAGTACAACCCAAACAGGAGAGTGTACTGTACTGTGGTGCTTTAAACTAAAAGTCCTGTTTGAACTGATCAAGACTCAATCAAGTCTATATTAACCCTAATTGGATATTTGATACTCAAGTGTTACAGCAGTCAAGTCACAAAAATCATGACACAAATAATGTTTAAAATAATGTTATGTTTAGCCTTGTAATGGTTTAGCCTGAACATTTTATTTTCCATTGCATTTTTAATAACACAGTGCTGTGTCAGCTGGGTCAACAATGACTTTATACTGCATGGAACTGTTCAACTAATGACTTTCAGCCCAGCTCATGTTTGCATTTATGGAGCCTGTGATGTTCAACCATAGCACAGTCAGTCCTGTCACTTCCACTGAATTCTTTCTTTCACCCTGATATATTTGTATTGGCTGTAGTAATAAGAAAGAAATGTGAGAGTCCTGCATATGGTCCCTGCTTCACCATGGCTGGTGCCAAATTCATTGGATTGGGATTTAAGAAACATGCGAGAAACCGGGCATTAGATATTAGATTCACATTAATATAAATCATCTGTTTGAGAAGCTGGAGCAGCAAATGGTTGTCTTTTTGCTTGATAAACGACACTTTAATTTAATACCGGTTGTTAGTGGGTGTCTAAATCATGTCACCTCTCCTGTAGGTCTAAGCCACATGCACAGGGGAGCTGACAGAATGTGACTGTGGTCTGTTGCTTCTCATTGGCCAGAGGTAGAACTTGAGCAGAGCAGGTGGAGCTGATTTACAGGAAAAGAGGGGAACAGGATACACTCCCCCCATCCCACCCTAGTCTCATCTTCAACCCCATCATCATTACAATAGCCCGTCCCCCTCCTGCATCGTCTGCCCGGGCGGGTGCACGAGTGCGATCCGGAGGGTCCGGTCCAAGAGTGACACGCCTTACATCAACGAGGCGAGGATCTCTCTGCACCTGGAGACAGGTAGGCAACCCCAGATGCTCTCCTATTCATGTCTGGCTGTATTAGCAACATCCGCAGGGGAATACTGTAGTGAATCGGTTCTCGCTTGTTTCATCGTTTATGACAGTTCCCACGCATCAGCATGACTCTGGGCTTTCATTGTGCAGGTCTGGTGGCGTTCCGTTGCTCCTCGGTGGATGGTAACCACCAGTGGCACATACACCGGGAAGAATTCCCCACACAGGCTGGATTTTATTCCAGCTATCCATGTGATATGCGGTCTGTGGGACGCGGTTTTGATTGCTATTTCTCCAGCCGGAGTCCGCCTTGGTGGTCGGCTGCAGTGAAATGTGGTGTGAACCGGCCGCCTCGGGCTACTCATTTAAATGCAGTTGGTATTACTGCATTTGGAGAAGGCTGGGGAATGGATTCTCCGACATGCATGTGAGGTTTGAGCCCGGTTTGTCTGCGCAAAAACGCCAGATAAGTTATAGTTTCCTTTGTTGCCATGGTCACGATGGTGTGCTGCCACGAAGCCTGCATCACAGGCATGTCAACGTGGGTTTACAGCAGATTTTCATTCATTTAGGGCGTTTTTTTAATTGGAATATAGACGCGTCCCCCTGTGGAAGTCGCTGCCCATTCCTGAGGGGGCGGCTTTAGTACCGTGCCAGTGCGGAGCTGGCCAATGCCCCTCGGTGCTGAACAGGCGGACACAGCCTGGAGGATCCGCACCGGCATTTATACGTTCATCATCACCAGCTTTATATACAAGACGGGCTTGTTGATGAGCCATTGCATCCGAATAGCTTGTGTGCGACCCTCCCCCAGAGTTTCCCAGTCACATGGTGGGTATAGCCTGGTAGCTAGACTCAAGCCTGTCTTTTCCATTTCGGACAGGTGCCAACTCTAGAAAATTCCCCTGCCTGGTCATTGCTCTGCTTTGTCTTTCTTCTTGTTAATCATGTAGCCTGCGGCATCTTAGTCAGTAATCATATTAAATCAAGTATTAATAGGTACCGTTTAACAAAATCTTAATATATATGCACATGTTTAGATCTGTTTATGTTGTAAAGCTCCTTATTCTTTTCCTCAAGCTAAGGTGAGAAATGCATGTGAAAAACCAATATTACAGAAATCTTAATGACTTCAGGAATTACTCACATACTCTGCTACATACCCCCGTTTTAGCCTGCTAAGATTTTTATGGCTGGTGTTATTCAGACCCACCTAAATGGTCACAGTCAAAGTGCTTTACAGTATTTCCCATTCACAGACACAAACCATTCACACACTGGTGTCCTTGCTGGGAGCAACTCGGTGTTCAATGTCTTGCCCAGGGACACTTTGGCAAACTGGGGAAGCTGGGATTTAAACCGCCAGCCCTCTGGTTAGGGAACGACATGCTTTACCTCCTGAGCCACAACCGCCCCCAGTCTCTCCCTGGACCTCTGCACTCTTCCTCTCCATTTTGTACAGCCAGATTATCTGAGCCTCTCCAATATGAGTAGCAATATTCTGTCTAGGAGTTTTGTGGCAGGATGGAATCTGGAGGAGGAGGGGAAGGAGGCTGCTGCGTCTCGCTAACAGTGCTACTCCTGGCTATTAGCTGAAAACAGAGCAGGGAGGCTGCAGCTGCAGGAGGCTGACATGACACCATCCAGAATCCAGCAGGCACTGCACATCAGCAGGGGTAGGGTTTTCTTGAACATGAAACATTCCTGTTTTCTCCCTTTTGTCTCTTCCTCCCAAACTCACTTTGGTTTAATCTCTTTTTTTGTCTGTCACAGCTGAAGCCATCTGCCCACCCACTCCCTCCATTCCCATTTACTTCATGTTTTTATGTGTAGCTGCTGTTGTTTTGCATAAATCCAGCCCACTCTCTTTGGTGTGTTTCACCATTCACATGTGACAAATGTCCATGCCATCTTCAGTGTGCATGTGTTCATATGCATACTTGATTGGTGTACATATGTGTGTGGGAGGCTGGGTGTATATGAGTGTTGAGTTTAGTAAACAAGAGTTTAGCAGCAGGGCTTTTGCCAGACGGCTTGTTTTTGCTCTTTTGAGTCTGACCCTCTTCAGCCATGTTCAGTAGGGACCCACTGAAGTAGGAAGAGATTAATTCAGCGCAGTTTTCTACTGTCAGAGTATCTCCTCTCAGACCTGATGAGGTGTGAACAGACCAAACCAGATGTCCTCAGATCAGATCTGGGCCACCTGCATGTGTGCTCCTAGATCCGATTCCTATTCGACTTCGCACTATGTGAGCACTATCAGAACGGTCAGATCAGAATCCATGTGGTTGTTTTAACATCTCCTCCTCTGCACATACAGCCTGTCGTCATCATTCGGCGTTGGCCCCTCACAGACTGGTAACAATAAACTTGGAGGAGAGCGACGGGGTCTGTGGAGAGACCAGGACGTTTCACATGTGGTGGACATTTATGGAGAAGCTTCTGATTAGGCCACAAGTCGCATACAAATATGAATTTGAAGCATTAACACAAAACTGTGAATTGAGCTTTAAGAACGTAACCTAATAGATGTTTAGTTAGGAAGAGAATTTAAAAGCTGTGTCATTTCATTTGTGGATACCCTGGGGGCAAGTTAGTTCCAAAATATACGACAGACACCCAGCTCTGATGTGTTATGGCCTTTTGGATGTTGTGTTGGCAAACACTGGACTACTTACACATCCACCATTATACAGAATACCTTCACTATGACTCATGTTTGTGTCCACCTGGTAGGGTGAAATCATATACTCCATTTTCTGTTGTCTCTGGCTTTTCTCCTGAAAAGATAACTGGCTCTTTAGCTGCTAGACCTTTGACTGTGCATCTCTTGTCTGTCTGTCTGCTGTGTGGTGCTAGGAAGGTGGTGCACGGTGGAGCTGTCAGTGCAGAGACTGAACCAAAATAGTAACTGTGCTGGTAAACCAAAACAGTGAGCTGGAGTAGACTGAAAAGGTCTGAAGAGCTGTGGAGATGATGGTTACCATGGGTCTGTCAGTATGAGCAGGTTCTGCCACATAACAACCATTTGTTTCATTCTTTTCTCTTTTTATGGCAGATTTTAGACCAGATCATTTCAAAACCAGTTTCCTTTGAGTGGGACCAGATCCCAGGCAGCACAGCTCTGCTCCAGCAATGTAAATCCAGGTCAGCTCGGTTAGAGCTTAACCCTTCTCACAAAGACCAAGACGCAGGCATTACCACGCTCATTCAAAGACAGAACGCTCTAGTACAGGCCTGAATGAAAGACTGAGACTGAGAGGTCTTAAATGAGAGGATGTAGAAGAGGAGGAACAGTTTGAGGAGGAGGACAGGAGTGTAGGATGGAGGTTTTTAAATTGTAGCACCATAAAATAAAGACTGGCACAGTGAGAAAGAAACAGCTGGCTGTCGTCCATAGAATATGGTGGGAACAGTGCACACAAACTATGTCCCAGTATCTGAGTAAAGGTCTTTTGTTTCTCTCATTTGCTCTGGCTCTGTCTTATGCACGTGCATCCACATTGCTTGAGACAGGCCTTGAGCAGCCAGAACTACCTGGGCCAAATACAAAAGCACATGAAGGAGTATTTATTGAACCATCAGATCTCAGTGACTACAACTGAGGATAGTTTACTACCTTGCTAGTAATAGCTTGGCTGGTCACATGATCCAGCCCCTCGCACGCCATAGCAGTCCTTTGAGAATCTCTTACTTGCCGTGTAGCCTGAGAGGTAGTTTTAAGTTTTTAATACTAAGTTTAGTTACACGTGTGCCCCCTCGTAGTTCGTCCCCAGTGCATTTCAGCCAGAGGGTCTGCTACCTGGGTTATACTCAGGCAAAGAAAAATACACAACTGAACCACACAATGCAGCCATAATTGTCAGACACTTCACCAATAATGTTTTAGATTTTGTTTCCTGAAGTGTGCTGTCTGGTGAAGGCCACCTATAAAACGTATGAGCTACATACAGAAGACAGAGAGAGGGGTGACTCATATCCCGCTGATATGCCAACTCTCACGTTCACACATTCACATGGATGTACACTGACAAACAAGCGCACAGACACACTTTCCTACAGGCTCTGCTGATCTGTCACTTTGTATTAGCTCAGCACATAGCGGGTCCAGTCAGGAGTGAGAGAGTGAGGCGCTGGTGTTTTTCATCTGGAACGGCAGCGAGAGAGAAAGAGAAAAGACTGCAGAAAAAACAGTGAACTTTGTGTTACCTTTAACCTCGCACGCTTCCTGTGTCCTTCCTCATCACATCACACATTATTTAGCACATTTCCCCAGTGTTTGCTGTTGATGCCAGCACACCTGTAGACAGATGGACAATAGCTCAGTGTAACTCTGCATTCTGGTTAGTTTTAGAAAAGCTAATCAAAAATAATTAGTCAGACACCATTTGTCAATCCCAAATCATTTTTCATGTGCCATTTTTGTGCCTCTGCGCTGGAGATAGCTGTGGCAAGAGGCATTATATTTTCGTGTTGTCTGTCTGTGCGTACCATTATTGTAAACGCGATATCTCAGGAATGCTTTGAGGGAATTTCTGCAAATTTGGCACAAGTGTTCACTTGGACTCAAAGATGAACTAATTAGATTTTGGTGGTCAAAGGTCAGTGACCTCACTTTTGTCCCATACCCATGAATTTGATTGGTTGGCGGAGGAATACAACTGCAAAGTGGCAATTCTAGTTATTATTTTATGTGTCTTTGTATTTCAATCTTTTTCAGGCCTCCCTTGTTAAAGAGATCCTGACTTCCTAGTAAAATAAAGACTCGATTAATTTTGGCTATCTGGCCTTCACCAGAGTGGTATTGTGGATTGTTTTTGCTCTTGTTTAAACAGTGCATCAACCCTCATCCTTGTCATGTGACTTTATAAGAGAAATATAACTAGCAATTATCACAAAACAGGCAAGATGGTATTAAAACCATCTTTTCAAAAAAGCATTTTGTACAAAATTTTCATTACATTTTGCTTAAGAAACAATAAAAAAGGTTGAATCTTTTATTCAGTCTTTGGCTTTCACATCCACCATCATGCTGCCACAAATACTAAATCACTGTCCTTAACAAATGAACAGTTCCTGTTTTAACATTTTGTTAAAAACTGCGGTGTCCAGCTCTTTTAGGAAAATACCAAGCTGTTTAAGAGGTGTTAGTAAAGATTTATGCCTTGGGGCTGAGAGCCACAGATGTGGAAGGTATTGAAAGGATGACTAACACATTCTTGGCTTTGGTTTTTTCATGTGATTTGTGGATGGCAGGAACAACCTGGATAATGTCACTTTTTTCTTTATGTGACAGATGTTGGTAAATTTCCATCGTCATTCATTTAGACATGAAAACTTGAGTCCTTATATCTAGGTTTGACGGGTTGTCGTGTGGACAGTATGCAGTGTTTGGATGTCTAACCTGTCTTGGAGTGATTATGGTTTTGACAAGTTTTGTGTGATTTAACCACTTGAAGCCAGAGTAAGTGACCTGTTTTTGCCCCACCTGTCTGTCTGTCTGCTGGAGAGCGGCACTGTAGTGAACTGGGCAGCTAATTATTTACAAAACACTGCCTGTTAACTTCTCCCATTCACTCTGCTCAGGATGCTGTCAAATAAAAACAATTAGCTTCTGTCACCATAAACACCCAGAGCTTTGTGAGTGTGTCTGACAAGGTGACTCCTCAGCAGCGATGGTCAGCATCTTAATCTGAGATGTAGTCAGTGGACAGGTACACCTGTAACAAAAGGGAGATTAAAGGAGCAGAGTGGTGGAGATTAAATGGCAGAGGGAGTCAGCTTTACACTCAGAAGAGTAGGTCTTACTCTCTCGGCAGCACAGTGCTACATTAATTTTGCATACTAAACCTGTGGCAGGATTGTCGGCTCAGTTCAGGGCCAAAATTAGCAGCAGCTGCATCAAAGGCCAGAGGATGAATGATATCTTTTGTCTGATGGAGACAGGAGACCAGATGGGAAAAGAAGGTGACAGTGTGGGGTAATGGATAGTCATCAGAAATAGACAAGAGGATCAGTCATGTGGTTGTCCAGTAAGAGATTAATCATATAGACAGAAACCATGAGTGACTCAGTCAAAAGGTCAGTGCACACAAATGATTAAAAAACACACTATAAATATTTAATTTGTAGGCCTATAACCCAATATCACAAATCACAGATTTACCTCAAGGGGCTTTATAGCCAGGCAGAGAAATGAAGCCATTGTGGAAGTGCCAAAACCTGCAGTTCCTTGAACGGCCACTTGAGGCTGGCTACAAAAGGGAGTCAGTCCCTGCAGACTCCCATGTTAAAATGCCCATCTTTATAGCAGGAATAAACATGTTTACAGCCTGGTACAAAAAGGTTCTGGTCTCTATAGCTAATGTCCCCTTCCATGGCAACTGTATGGAGGGGTGAATTTTTATACAACTTGCCTGTTTAAATAATATTGTTACTAAAGTTCTGCATTAATTAAGGGCATGGATGTGTTGTGTGTGTGTGTGGGAGTGACAGGTGGGAGGGTCCTACCATAGGTGAGTAGCCACTAGTAAGCTCTACTGACCCTCCACCTCTTTGCCTATTTTTGGCATAGCCATAGCAGGTGGAGTGAAGGGCTATCAAGATGGTGATGGCCCAGACTTGAGCTTCAGAAAACCAATGAGTGATGACACAGAAGGTTTGTCCACCTTTTATATATAGTCACTATTTACAACTTGTACAGTGTTTTGTCTTCAACAAGTTCTGAGAAGAAACTAGCTGTTAAACTGCGCAATGTTCCACTCTCTTCATCAGTTCTAGTTGTCAGCGGTGTCTATCTGTTTGATGCTGACCAGTGGGTTTTTCAGAGCTTGTTTGATGAAATCAGCTGCCTTCTGCAGCTGGAAACTAGGCTGATGCCAGTAGATTCAAGCAAAGCGCAACCCAGCAGTGACATAGTGTTATTTTTGTGCACTGAGCCTTTCAACAACAGTTCAGCAGCAATGATTTTCACCTCTACGCTTTCCGAACACTTCCTCTAGAAAGTGGTAGTTTAATCTGTTAGCATTTAGCTTAGAGGTGTGGATCACAAGCAAGTTTGACATGTGCGCCAGCATCAGTCAGAGCATCAGCAACAGTGCTGCTGTTGATTATGACATTTTCTTTTGACATTTATTGCAGAGCAGCAGAGACCTAGACACATGACCTCTGGACCCTGATCAATAACCAGTGTAAGTTTAACATAGGTTTCACATTAACTCAAGCATTTTAAAACGAACTATTAAGAGCTTTAAAAGGAGGGGATGAAAGAGCCCGGAAGGCAATATGTAAACGCAAGCACAATTAAATGTACAATCCACAGAATCAAAAAGAGGAGGAAAATGCAAAAACAAATGGGTTGTAAAGGTGTATGGATCTGGCCTCTCTGAGACTGCAGAAGCAACTCGCCTTTCGATTTAAAAAGAAAGGTGAGCACAAAGAGTAGGGAGAGGAGTGCTACCCTCCACAGGGGCACAACAGACATTTATCCACGCCGAGCTGCAGTGACGTACTAATACAAGCTGCAGAGTCAGTGTGTGTCTGCTCCAAGTTAAAGGCTTGTTAGAGTTGACAGGTGGGCCCAGCACTATGGAGATGTGAATCACAGCTCAGACAGGTCAAAGTGAGATGTGGATCAGCACAAAGACACTGAGATAGGAGACGCTATAGGCATTCACAGGATTCCGACAATGCAGAGTGTAGAACTCTGTTCTGAGCAGTTCATGAGAAATACATGCTTAGACTGCTGACAGCAAAACATAGATACTGTTTGACATGGTGCTTTATGGTGAGATAGATGTAAGGAGTCCACAGAAAGTCATCTGACAGCTGTATGGACCACAGGCTGTCTCAAGGAGGACACGCTGCTGTCTCTGATGTGAGAACACCTGTGTTCCATGTAGCTGCTGCTGTATGTGTGTGTGTGCGCACATGTGTACTTTTCTCGGTACTTGTGTGTCTGAGTGTGGAGGAGTGTGGCGATTGTTTCAGAGCTTGTCATATATCTGAAAGCGGGCTGACTTGTCAGACACATTGAGGCATGAAGACCATTATTGTCAGTAGCACATTGAGCTGTTGCGTGCCAAACCTTTGTGCCCAGAGAGCCTCTCGTCTGTGCAGGAAACTTGTCTGAGGCCTGGACCCAAATTACATCCACCCACCAAATCGTCATTGCAGTTTCTTAGGATTCTTTCAAATCCCTTTTCTTTTTATTTATATATAGATGGATTGTCAAGTGTTGTTATGAGTTAAACTGTGTGTGTATCAAATCTATCAGTTAATGTGAATGTCTTTATTTGTAACTGAGAGCAAAGCTTGCTATGATTTATTCCAGACCCAAGGCTTGTTCACTAACTGTCCCCATTTCATCTGCTGATACACAGCCTTGTACTTTGAATTTTAAATCCTCTGTGATTCATCGTGTGTGGCAAGGAAAATGCAGCGTATGCTTTTGATCTTATTATGTAAATACATGAACACAATGTACACAAGTGAAATGGGAAAAAAATGGTTGATTAGGTGTAGTCAGCTGAGCACACTGAGCTGAGGCTCTGTAAGCTTGTGCACCCCAGCTCAGGGTGGTAACAGACCACTCTGCATCCTGCAGCTCAGTCTTTCACTGTTTACAGAGGGATGAGTACTTTCATTCTCATTTGTTGTGAGCTCCTCCTGCTGGCACAGGTTTGTAACCGCTAACTATGGCCCTGCATTGGCCTCCATAATGTGCACAGGCCGCTCTCTCACAAACATGTTCTCCATTCTTCCCCATCTTCAGAGACTCTCTAAATTTAGCTTGTTTTTATCTTTTGAATCTTGGAGCCTTCTTTGCTTGTGATCTCTATCACAGCTCTGTCTCAGATGGGAGGGGAGCTCAGAGGGAGTACAACACAGCTGCCAGACTGCTCACAAGATGAAAGCAGGAATATCTTACTCCCTTCTTTGATTCTCTTTAGCACTGATTTTAAGATTCTACTGTTTACTTATAAGACTCACCATGGGCCTGCACCTGATTACATTACTGAGCTGATTTAAGCCTGAGCAATCTAAATCTGATCCACAGCTAGTGTAATAGTGAATTACATGGCAAAGATTATTCCCTATTAATTTTACATAGTTGTTTGCATGTTGAATAATAACTTTTAAATATTATCTATTATTGTTTTAATCATATATTTTTGTTATCTTGCATTTTGACATTGCATTGAAAAGTTTATAAAGTACATAATAATTTGAAGCAGAAATCCAAATCTGGAGGGATTTGTTGGTGTTAATAATAATAATTACTGCTGCTGTTGTTACAGCACAGTTTATATAAAGAGTCGGTAAGAAAAATATACATACATAGCCAACATAAAAATAAAATAATACATTTTAAGGCAAAAGGACAGTTGATGAGTGTAAACTATCTAATTAAAATAAAAATATTAACACAAAAGGTTAATAGGCTATAATCTTATTTCTGTGTTAAGTTTTTTTCAGCTCTGGTCTTTAAATATTAGCTACAAAGACTTCTATGATTTTTGCTTTCATACCTCGGCTGTGTAAATTGTCTCTTAAACCTTCTTTATTCCAAGTCTCCCGGCGCTTCAGCCTCATTGGCTAACGCCGCGAGTCCATCCCGGATCAGTGGGCCAGGATTGGCTGAATCTAATTTGGACCTGTGCTACGTCAAGGTACTGACGTGAAGCTAGACTGTGACCGGACGTTTATTTCGCCTTCAAAGTAAAATTTTGTGCAAAGCAACTAGATCCAGTAAAGATTACTTTTAAATTTATTTGAATATATATTTAATAAAACGGAATAGTACATGATTGCACTGTTGATCACTGAACTTTTAAAGGACATGATTATTTAAATAGTCTAGAATTTTTAACTCACTTTTCTGTGGCATAGACTTTATGGAACTGCAGCATTTCAGCTTGTCAGCAGTTGTAGAATATACAATATGTTATTGAATTATTATAAAATAATTATAATTATTAAAATTTACTGGAGAATATTTGCTGATTCTTTGACAGTCAACCTATTTGGGTTATTTTGAGTTTCTTTACATGTTATACAGTGATCAATTATTTTAAAATATTTTTCAGATGTACTGATAATAAATATAATCATATTAAACAAAGTGCCTCCATATAATTAACATTCAGATCCCTCTATAAGAGCGGGGCCACAATATAGAGGATGGAGGACACACCATAGTTGATATTCTAGTTGCACAATTTTGTGATTAACAAAAATGTGGAGGTCTGCATTTGCCCATTTCACCTGGTCAATATGTCTGCTTTAGGACACGTTTCCACTCAAACCGCTCGTTCGAGGTGCTTTTATTTTGTACGTTGTGGCCGGAAATTTGCGTTTTTAAATGGCTGACTTGTCGGTAGTGGACATCGCTGCAAACCGCTTGAAATCCCCCTCTACCGGAGCAGAGGCTAAGAGGGTCAAGCCCTGCAGTCCAGTGCAAACATGGCGGGCCGTGGAGGTGACGTGATGCGTATATGGCCTGGATCTGTTTCTATGGCCAACTCCTCACTTTTAGAGGTGTCCGAGGAACAGAAACCGAGGAAAAGGAGGAGGCCGTTCTGCCTGGTCAGGATGAAGTCCCGCAGCGGCTCCGACAAACAGCAGCAGCCTCAGCCCGCCGCCGACAACAACAACGCGCCGTTCATGATCCACTGCCAGATCAGCAGGGAGATCAAACACATGTGCAGCAACTGCCGGGGAGCCGCGCAGCTGGACGGTGAGGGGAACCGGTTCCACGGAGCTAGAGAGGGAGGGAGGGAGGGAGGGAGGGAGGAGCAGGTTTTACTCCAGCGTTTTTAAATGAATTGCAGCGGTGACCGCTCCCTGCCCGCCGGGGTACCGAGACCAGCGACACTCCTTGTGCTAACTATTCACCTTCCCTGTCACGGTGCTACGTCCTTAACAGTTACAGATGTGTTTCAAATGAAATGAAAATCCTGATTAAATGAGTGGGAATTGAAACAAATAAATAAATCCACTGATTAATCCGCTGATTATTGGATTTATCGTATTATTAACAGAACCTCAAAAATGGGGAAAATTCCCATAATGACTTTCCAGAGTGGAAGGTGGTGTTTTCAAATGTCTTGCTTAGTCCAACCAACAAAGCCAAAGATAGGCTACTCAGTTTATCAGTGGTGGAAGTAGCTTACTTGAATAAAAGTAGCAGTGACAAGTCCTGCATTCCAAAGGTTAAGTTAGTTAGAAAAAATATTAGCATCAGAATATACTTAAAGTGACAACAAGTAAAAGTAGTCTATGCAGAATGGCACATTTCACATTAACCTAAATTATGACATTGGATTATAATTATTGATTCATTATTGTGTTTATCATATTAATGTTGCAGCTGGTAAAGGTGGAGCTAATTTTAACTTCCTTATATTTTTAATTACTGCTGGGTAGCTTGTGAATTTCCCGCTGAGGATCAATAAAGTCTTATGATTGTACTGTATTGTATTTTATTAATCTGATATGGGAAACTAAAGGTATCAAATGTAGTGCAGGAAAAAATACAGCATCTGCTTCTAAAATGTAGTGAAGCCGTATGAAATTGCAGAAAATGAAAATACTCTAGTAAAGTATAGTTACCACAGAACTGTACCTGCTTGCTAACAGCCTTGTTGTTGTGACTGTTTTCTAGCTGAGGAAGTGGAGAGGTTGGCAGCCATGCGCTCTGATTCACTGGTACCCGGCACACACACGCCTCCCATCCGCCGGCGGAGCAGATTTGCCACCTTGGGACGTCTGTTTAAACCCTGGAAATGGAGGAAGAAGAAGAGTGAAAAGTTCAAGCAAACGTCTGCTGGTGAGAACCAAAACACTGTAAACACAGCACTTCCATTAGCACCCTGTTCCCCAGCTCTCCCTTCCTCACTCAGGAGACAGACACGTCTGACAAGAGATATTGTAGCATGTTCAAAAAGTTTAGGAAACACCCTCCTCCACTTACTGTCTGTCATCAGGGTCGGGAGGTTTTCATCTGACCATTTCTGTAACTAGGAAAATCGTCGGTTCATTTACATCCACTTCTGCATTGATTGGAAAGGGGGGTGGAGATGAGAAAAAAGCCACAGTAAGGGAAGACTGGAAATGTTTAAAGGATTTCATGTCCTGCCACACTCTTTGGTGATGGGCTTCGTCTTCTAGTGCAGTCGTTCAGACCTGCTAGGAACCCTTTAGCCATCTTACGAATGCTCGTTTCTAGCATAACTCAACCTTTACTCTGCAATCAAATGGATTTGTCAGTGTCTCAGCAGCGTTCCTAAGTTATCAGTTGGTCCTTCCTTCAACTTGCCAAGCCTCTGTTGTGGTTTCTGTCAGTCTGGGTTTGACTTAGAGAGAAAATAGTGAAGACTGAAAAGCTTTTGATCAAGCTGGAGCTCCTAGACGTTGGAAACTCCCATTAGCCCACGAATGCAGCATGCTCTCTAGACAACAGACAAAAAATGGTGAACACATGAAATGTGACTGATGTTAGGATTTCATGTAAAAAATAAATCTAATGCCCTGCTGTGATGGTACAAGAGCTTCATTGTGCAGCACAAGTGTTCAGCACTTTAAGGAAAGTAAGTAACAGTTTGGCAGTAATAAACTTTGAGGCAGATCATCAATATTTAGCAAACTGGGCTGTGAGTTGCTTGTCAACTAAATGTCTTCAAAATACAGAAAATGACACTTCTGCTAAATGAACAGTGATATTAATAAATGAAACTAAACATTGGTATATGTGCAAATCTAAGAGGCATATTCACAGAAGACTGTTTATGATCAGTCATGTAGTTATATACTGTATGTTTCAAACAGCGCAGAAACAGAAGGATCTCACAGTTCACATGTATTTCACTCAGTTCAGACCTTGTGGCCAAAAGCTGTTAATTCCATTTCCATCAGAAATGCAAATGCATCAGCTGTGGAAGAACTGATAATAACCACAGCAACAAATTACCTTACTAACTAATTAACTAACTAAAATGGTGATTGTCATTGTGCCAGTGTGCTGCCTCTGAACCCATGCTGCATAGTGATGCTAGCCTCTGTATCTGAGGAGATGTGAGTGCATATGTCTGGTTCTGAGCTACAATATGCACCGAGCAGTAGCTGTGAAACTGAGGGGAGTGTTTTGATTTGGACAGAGAAATAGAAGCTGCTGTTGATTCTCAGCTGGCTCAGTCGCTCCACATCCTGTTCTCGCTGAGACACAGGGCTGGAGAGGGGCTTCTCGCAGCCAAGCTGTTCTCCCAGCTGTCATAGCACTTGGAGTTTGAATTATTTTTGTCTGCTTCAACTGGCCTCCCTTCTCATTTCTCACATTTTACAGCGCACACACATGCACAGAGGTGGATGCGTGTTGTGAGCCCCATGTGTTATTGCTGGACCTGTACCAAAGTGCAGTAAATTATGTGGGCATTTATGGTCCATTATGGTGTAATGCTAAGAACATAACCATGTTGTTGTAAAAGGTAATGCATTTTTTATGGGGACTTCAGGTTATAGAGGGTTCACGGCAAGAAAAGCAGCTTTACACAAGTAAAGGCATCAGTGATGTAAGAGTTTCTTATTTTCCTTGTCTGTTTTAAATGACCACGCTTTTGTGTTGGCCACCGAGCACTGTAATATTTCTTCACTGCCCAGAGAATGAATCTCATGAGTGTGATGACAACCTGTCAACCACTGTATGTCCCAGGGCAACACTCCGCTCTGCCTTTCTTGCCATAAAATGTAGAAACTGTCAGGAGCAGAGGTCGGTGTTGGTAGGACATAGTCATGGTTGTATATCTCCTGACCTGCCACTCCTCCCCTTAAACACCGAGACGCCCTCTTATTCCTGTAGTGCTTCATACTGTTTCTTTTGCATTAAGCCTGGGTCTTTGGATAATTGGCTGATTGTTGCATCCTGTGTTTGGTTGTGGGTTATATCTGCAGCCCCTGCATCCAGTTAATTTAATGAAAACGATGCCAAAGTAAAACCAGCACAGTGAGTCTTGTGTGGAGAGATTAGATGAAGCCTAATTGCTCCATAAAGCAACTGACAAGGTAGAAGAATAAAACATGACAGTGTAACTGGCAGAATGACTAAAGGGTGTATGGACAGATGTAGTAGTGACTGAGGATGGTATTTACAGAGAAACACCAGAACAATATGAACAGTGTGGGGCTGGGCAGTATTATTAATATTACCTTTGACTGAAAGCTTATTTTATTTTATTGATATGATCATCTTGTGACATGACTTTGTGGATATAAAGTAACAAATTGAGATATGATTGTTGAAATGTATTTAGATGTACATTAATAACAAAAAGAACTACATTTTCCCCAGCTCTAAAACCAAATGCTGTTTATAAGAGAATTTTTGAAATAACTGAAATAAAAACAGGCGACCAACCCAATATAAAGAGTCCCAGTGAGGTGCTGGGCCACCAGAACAGCTTCAGTGCACTTTGACTTTCCAAGTCTCCGAACTGTCCCGGAGGGATGAACACCGTTCTTCCACCAGATGTTCCCTCATGTGGTGTTTTGATGATGGTGGTGGAGACGCTGTCCAACACGTCGCTCCAACATCTCTCATAGCTGTGCAACTGGGCTGAGACCTGGTGACTGGGAAGGCTGCAGCGTCTGATTCACATCACGTTCACACTCGTCAAACCACTCCTTGACCCCTCCTGCCCTGTGGATGGTGGTGTTTGGGCACTGTTATCCTGGAGGAGACCACTCCCATCGGGAGAGAAATGTTTCATCATAGGATAAAGGTGATCACTCAGAGCAGCTTTGTATTGATTTGCAGTGACCCTTACCTCCAAGGGAACTGTGGGGGTCATGGGTTCAGGTTTTTCCTTTCATTTCTCACCCGTCTGTATTGTGGAAATTTAAAAAGTGAAAACTGCAGGATGCTTTTGATAAACTAAAGGAAACAGGAATAAACAGGAGTGTGTGTAAGGTCTCAGTGTGTTTACCTGCCTAAATAAAGATGTGTAGCCTACACAGGATGTGTAAGAATATGTCAAAAATATTTGTATGGATTGCATTAGCATTTTAAAAATCACTTAGCATTCAAACAACACCAGAACACCAGAAAAAGTGAAAAGGGACAAAGCAAAACTGGTTTCCAACCTGGGACTGAAAGACGGTTTCAGTAATCTAGGAGGTCCTCTCAACTCAGGCCAGCCACACAACAGCCAACATCAGAGGCTGAAGTATTAGCACAGTCCTGTCTCGGAGGGGCAGCGAGCTGCTGGTGACATCTGTTCACTCACAGGATTATTACTGGGCAGCAAACAAACTTGTGCTGCAGCTGACACATTCCTCAACACTAATATCATTCTCAGTGCCCAGTGTTTTTTTTGTTGCTTGTTTGACGTCGTGGCCTTTCTATTTCCTCAGTGCTGGAGAGGAAGATGTCCACGCGCCAGAGCAGAGAGGAGCTCATCAAGAAGGGAGTGCTGAAGGAGGTCTACGACAGAGGTGAGGCTTGGAAACAGGCGGCAAATCAAATGTGGGGCTAAAGTGCAAAATGTCACAGTGCTGAATTTTTTTTTTTTAGATATTAGAACGTCCTTAAGTAAAAATCATTTTCCTCTTTTAGCTTCTCAGATGTGAGAGATTTTTGTTATGAAATCTCTTTTTCACATGTGAATCGTTTTGGCTGATGTACTGAATGATTTTACATGTCATCGCATATATTCATATTAGAAAAAAATGTATTTCAGCCATTTCCAAACGGTGTAGTAAATGAATTTGAAAGACACAGGTAAGGATTTTACCTGTTTGTAAGACTATAACAATTATTATTATTTCAATGTCTGAATGATCTTGATTATTGTGGCAGCATCAAACAGAAGTAAATATAATAATTAGATGAAATTGTACAATTAAATTATAGATTAATCATTTTGTCAATTAAATTTTTAAAAAATTGTGAAAAGGCAGTCTGGGGTTCCCCAGAGTGAAGCCTTGACATTTCTTGTTTTGACAGGCTTTATCATTATTATCATTTACACTCGTATAAAACAGAGAAACAGCAAGAAGCTGGAACCAGTGAATGTTTGGAGCTGGATTATTTGCTTTAGTCAGTTGACCATTAGTTTCAGCTATACTTGCACACCCCTAAACTGTTGCATGTTGTTGGCTGATTCACACTTTTGTTTAATAATAAAATGCATCATGGTCCATCTGATTCCTGCCTTGGATGTATCTGTTCTTCATGCTTTCCCCTGTTCATCTTTCCCTGTAGATGGCATGTCCCCAGACGTACGAGAGGAGCTGAAGATGGAGAATGGGCGCTCTTCGGTGCTCGGCTCCAGCCTGTCAGAGTCTGAAGCTACTGAGCTGATGGAGGGAGCAGCTGCAGCTGTAGGTAGGCAGCAGAGCCTTGGCACCATTGTTACCTCATCACTTGTTTTCACACCGTGGCCTCTGACTGTTCTGCTTTTGTTCTGTTTTCCTCAGGCCCCATGGAGTTTCAGATGCCCGGTGACAGTGCGTGTCAACAGGACCACGCTCAGAAATCCAGCCAAGCTCCACTCACGAAGAAGTCCGCCATGTATCCAGCAGACAGCGCTGAATCAATGCTCTCCAGACCTCTAGTGCTACACAAACAACCTCCTGCGCTACCGCCCAAACCCTTTGCTAGGCTACCTAATCACATTACAGGTGTGTTTGTGTTCCCGCATGTTCACAGTTGTGTTTTGGACTCTGTATCTGCACATCTCAACCTCTCACCTCCTCTGTCTGTGCAGATGGTGCTCCAGTCAAGCTGCCCGGTATGGCGGTGAAGTTATCTCCTCCTCTACCTCCAAAGAAGCTCATGATGTCTGTACCTACAGGGAGCATGGAGCCCTCCTCGCTCGCCTTCCAGAGGTGCCCCGCCCCTCCCAGCCACGCTCCAGTGGGTGGCCACTCCCTGCAGTACGGGACGCTCCCTGTTCCCCTCCACCCACCCAGCCGAATCATCGAGGAGCTCAACAAGACCCTGGCCCTCACCATGCAGAGGTTTGAGAGGTGACTGATCTGTTTGGCCTTTCATCATAAAAAATGTTTGTCAGCTTTAGGGGTGTAAGAAAATACTGATACATTTGAGTATCATCCTTTTACGTTTTCTGATACTGTATTGATTCTCAAAAACACTGTTGTTCTACAACGTCTACTCCTTGCATCTGGAGACAATGAGTGTTTAGCTTTTTGCTTGAGAAATGACTTTTATGATAAATTGAATATCAAAATTCTTGCTGATTAATTTTCCAGCAGTTGTTCTGTTAAGTCTGCTGTGACCTTTTACATGTCTGAGTGCCCCCTTAAATCTTCAGTGTCTGGTCTCAGCTCCCAGGATCAGACTCTCTCTGTCAGAGAGAGACCAAGACTTTTCTGTTGCAGGTTCCCACTAATCATTCAGTTTGCCAGTTGAGTTTCCACTATCAGATTCATTTGTAAACTTGGTTTTATTCATCTGAGAGATGTTCTGAGATGCTGCTCCACTGTCAGTCCAATCACAAATGGAAAACTGTGGTGTTTTCACTGTACATACTGGTTGCAGCCCTCTCCTCCACCACATCCATCAACATGATTGGTTGGCTGCCTGTGGATTCACTTTCTGCAGGCCCTGCTCTTGTTGTTCATGGAAGATTTCACTGTTTAGATTTATTAGTCACTCTGTCACTTCACACATACTTGAATCTTTAGTAGTTGTCCAGGCCCTCACGTTCTCTGATTTGGTTTCTATTGAGTTTTAGACACATGACTAACCACAAAACAGAAAGGTTTAACTGGACAGAGACACTTTCAGTCAATCACACTGCTCTGACCTTTGCGCTTTCCCACCATCCTTCAGCTCCATGATGCACGTTGTTCCCACGGTAATGATTGAGTGCGATGACGACAAAGAGAACCTCCCGAACGAGGCAGACTATGAGGACCTGCCAGGTATGTACAAAGACGAGGAGGAGGAGGAGGAGGAGGAGGAAGAGGAGGAGGAGGAGGAGGAAGATGAGGATGACACATTGTTTACAAGTAGGTGTCTTTCTTGATTCTTTTCAGATATTTTCCAGTGTCCATGTGTCTTCTGTGAATCATAGTACATCTTGATGAACTGCATGCACATGCGTCTCCATACGGTTGCACAGACACATGGCTTGAGGCATTCAGTGCTGTAATCAGTGATATGAATTACTTATCATAGAAGCATTACGTACCTATATAGTTGATTTAGCTAAAAGAAAAAGAAGAAAACAAAGTAAAACAATAAGTGATACAGGAGGTGAGGCAAAGGTACAGCCCGGGATGAAACAGGCATATGCTGATGTTCTGAATACAGCAGGAAGTTAGCTGACTGTGTTGTAAAGGGGCTGAACTACTAACTGTGACACACAGCTCACAGAGGCAGTTATTTCAGCTTTAAGCAGCCTCCGAGGACACAGACATGATACACATACCTTTAGATTTGTCCATATATCCACTCAGAAACCATAGATAAAATGCATCCAGGACCAGCTGGAGAATCATCAGGTTTTCTTCAGTAACATCCACGGGTACACTGCAAACCGCAGTTGCTAACAGTGTAGCTGTTATTTAGCAGTGTAGGTGACATTTCTCCTGTCCTGGTCACCTTAGGCACACTAGCTATGAAGATTTTACGAAAAGACTCTCTGGCCATCAAGCTCAGTAACCGTCCATCGAAGAGGGAGCTGGAGGAGAAGAACATCCTGCCGCTGCAATCGGACCAGGAGAGGCTTGAGTCTCGACAGCAAACGGCCACCAAACTCACCAGGTAAGCTTGTACAGTCACTGTCCTGCAAGATGGCAAGATGACCACTCATAAACACATACACACAATCCACATTTAGGCCCTGTCGCCTGCAAAAGTGAGCTGTGATAGATGCAACCTGGCTGCTAAAGGGAGCAGATGGATGATGAGTCATAATGCAGGAGGAGGCAGAGCTGAGAGAGGGAGAGATTAAAACTGAGGAGAATCCAGAGTGAGGATCACAGAGGTGAGTGAGAGCTACAACAAGCATGTACAGGTATAAACATGTAATTCAATTTTATCTTATTATTCCTAATGTGAAATTAAGACATTGTACTGCTTTGAAAATGAATTTGGGTCATAAAATACATTGGTTTTGATTTATCATACATCTAGTATGGAAATACAGTATCAAGTAATATTGATCAAAGCCAAAACCCAAAGATATTTAATATTCAGTGATATAAAGCGGAAAAGCACTGACTCCTCCTCACATTTGACAAATTGCTGATTACATTCTCTCTGCACTAACTGCATATTACTTTATGATGACTGAAAAATCTTAAAACTTTAAATGAAACAGTCACCACGTGGTAAATCAAGTCAGCTAAAAGGTTGGACACTGGCTGAAGCAGGAAGTGTCTTCACTAGCTGTCACATAAATCATACATTAAATACATCACAGTTAGAAAACCACAGGCCTTTTTCCCATTTAAAATCAGTTCTTGGCCCAAATAAAAATAACAGACTTGTTAGAAGAACAACATTCTCCACCTGTCTTGAGGTTTGTTCTAATTTCCAGCATCTCCACTCAGTTTTTTTATGTGCAAATAGAAGCTGTGGACAGACACCCACCTATACTGTAGGTACCATTTGCCTTGAAAAACATGTCCTGTATGTTTGTGTACGTTTGTGTTAGCCAGCAATGATGCAAACATAACTCGGAAAACATTTTCCCTCTCCTCTGGCTTCTCTTTTGACTCTGTGGTCACATATCAATCTTTCTGCCAAACAATATGAACCACTCTGTCCCCTTCAGAGTCAAAACACTGTAAATTCACAAACACAGCCTCACAAAAAATGACATTACACGCACAGCCAGCTTGTCTGCTCAGTATTTCCAAAGTGGAAAATATCTGCCCCACATATTTTGCACAAGTGGAGTTACAGTGATGATGAGCTGAAAGCGCGCACACACACACAATAAAATCATATAAAAATAGATTTTATGAAACAGATGTTTTTCTTTTTTCAGGCGGTTGAGTCAAAGGCCGACAGCAGAGGAGCTGGAACAGAGGAACATACTCAAACGTAAGTCACTCAGTGCTCAGTAAGAGAACAAAATAAATAATCTGTGTGTGTGATCACGGTTTCTGTCGCTCCCTCCAGCTCGAAACGATCTGGAAGAGCAGGAGGAGAAGAGAGAGATCAAGAGACATTTGTCCAGAAAGGTAAGACAATCTGTGATCAGCAGCCATGAGTGCACATTTACATGTTGAGTTAATCACCCCAGCTGGAAATGTGAACATGACGCATCAGGCTGCAGACGATGGATATTAGTGATTCCATCCTCTTGTTTTGTGATGATGATCCAACTGAAGCTATAAACTCTGTTCCACTGCAGTGACCATCACTTACTAAACAGACTTTTCCCTCTTGATTAATATCTTTATTTTGACACTTTGTCCTTGAGCATTTTCACCCTTTTCATCAGATAGAAGAAGCAAATCGTGTGTGTGTGTGTGTATGAGAGAGAGAGAGAGAGAGAGAGAGATCTGTGGGTTTCAATGCAGATCCAAGTCCAGAGATGGATACAAATTGTGCACTCTTGGCAGAGGCAAATACAAGTTAAAGAAAAGAGGATTGTTCTTTATATTCTATTGCTTTAATATACAAAGTATTTCACATAGAACAAATGGAGTTTTCCTATATTTTTACACCACCCAAGAGAAGTGAACCAGCTATGTTCCTGCACAGGTGTTCCTCAGCATGCACGTCGCAGGCTCTGAGCCAGTTAGTGTTGGTAACAGCTCTCTCTTCCTGCATTGTGTAGCTCAGCCAGAGGCCGACAGTCGAGGAGCTGAGGGAGGCGAAGATCCTCATCCGCTTCAGTGACTACGTGGAGGTCGCTGAGGCTCAGGACTACGACAGGAGAGCAGACAAGCCCTGGACCAGGCTCACAGCTGCGGATAAGGTGAGCATAAAACACAACAAAGTAATTCTTCCCTAAAGAGTATTTCACTAATTTTGGATTCAAGCAGTCTGCTCACTTGGCACTTTATTAGGTACATGTTGCCAAAACACAGTGCTAATGTTCAGTTTTTGTTCCAGCTGTTTCCGAGGCTGTAGTGTCTGCTGCTGTTGAATTGTATTGCATCATTAAGCTTAACCTAACTGAAAAATAAGGTATACAAAATGATAAACACAACACAATTCAACAGCAGCACAAACTACATCTTCCCAAATAATCATAGGACTGAATCAACCGTTCTGAAACAGTCTGAACACAAACTGAACATTATCGCCTTGCTGGAAGAGGATTCGCTGTAGGAGTGTTGGATTTAGTTGTGTACCACTAAACTTACAACTTAGCATACATACATAAACATGTTGTTCTTTTTGTGTTGGTCAGGCTGCCATAAGAAAGGAGCTAAATGAATTTAAAAGCACAGAGATGGAGGTGCATGAGTCAAGCCGTCACCTGACCAGGTAAGTCAAAGTTATTAAGGCTGTAACAATACAACCAGCTCACAGTTTGGTTCGGTACATGATACAGTTTGATACACTGGTGAAAATGAAAAGTAGTGTCACATTTTTCTTCTTAGGCATTTAAATTCACAGAAGCATTTTGTTTCTTATTCAAACATTTGCCTTGTTTTGTAGCTAATGTAATGTCTGGCTAATGGCCAGTGTAGCTAACCCTAGTGAACAGCAGGGTCGAGAAAATGGATCTGGCCTCTTGGCCCCTCTTGTTACCATGAATAAAGGTACATGGGAGTCCTGACTTAATATTACAGCGGGCTTTAAATACGATTAACTGAAAAACAAGCATCTCATCTACCTAAATGTGATTGGCAGTTCAGAGGAAATGACTTAAGGGTGAGAAGAGTCCTTGACAATGCTGGTGGCTTGGTGCAGGTATCTCTCCTGATAAATGCACCAAACAGGGGAGAGTGGCATTCTGATCATTCTCTGCTGTCCTCATCATCATGCATTTATTGGACTTAAAAAATCTTTTAATAGTATTTTTTAAACTTTATGATTGTTATTGACAGCTCAGAGGAAACTACTTATTACTCTATTTATTTTACAAGTACAACTTTGCTACTTCAGGTTAACAGTGTTGCCTGCCATAACCTAAAAAACCTCGACACAGCCACAGCTTTATACTGACATTTAGCAGAATAGCATTAATGCCTAAATAGTGCTGAGGCTGACTGGTTTTTACTTGATCCTGACAAGAACTGAAGTGAATATTTGGACCTGTTGGCGACTCTACTTGCATCATCTTTCTGGTCTCTCCCCTGCAGGTTTCATCGGCCGTGACCTGGCTCTGTCAGGCCTCGACGACGCACTCCTCCTCCCACAGAAGCCTCAGGCTGCTACATGCTACCCTGGTAATGCCGACTTAAAACTGACAGACTGGACTGAACCTGATGTGTGAGTTTGAGCCATTACAGGAAACGGGAGCAAAAAAACTTTTTGATAAGAGTCAAAATCCCCTCAGTGGGGAATTTATAGACTTCTTGATATTCAAAAGCTTTTAATGGTCATTTTTTTATGAAGAAGCTGTGGCGATATGTCTTCTTTGCTGCACTTTTGTTTTGAAAAAGGCTGTGCCAGTGTCTAGGATGGGAGCGGCAGGAGGTGAAGATGGGAGGACTTCTTTTTTTTTTATATAAACACAGGGACTGTTTTTGGCTTTCGCTCTCCTTTCTCAACTAAACTCTGTTTTACCTTGGGGACATGTGTTTGTTGGCAGTTTTATTCCACAGGTCTCATCTCACTTTGCCACTGGAATGAAAATATTTACAGCAGCTTCTGCTGTTGTAGGCAGCTGAATATTAAGCCAAACTATTCTAAAATTTGATCATGGTCCCAAAATCATCTGAACAAAGCTGGTAACAGTAAAGAAAAAATCTTAAAAACAAATTATCATCAATCAACTGAGCAATAATTTCAGATTTTCTCATTTGTCCATGTGTTGAGGGGCTGCATTCAAGAGCTCAGACAGTTTCCTGATTTCAGGCGCCCAATTTAAACCAAAGCAACCTGGCTGGCTGTGGAAGTCGTGACCTTGAATGCATCCCAGAGTGAGTGCTGTTAAGAGTTCAGTAGCCCGCTGTGTCACTGTGCCTACAGTACTGTTTACAGGGATCTAAAATTGCCAAATTACCTTCTTTCCTTTGATACAGAATAATAACAGGTGTGCCACGGAAAAGTAGCCTGGAGCCCTAAATACCTAGCTAACACTGGTGTTGGAGGTGGGCTACTTTTCCGTGGCCCACCCTGTATCTGTGCACAGTCTGCTGAATTACATGAAAGTGGTCTTTTTTTTTTTTGTATTTTATTGTGCAGTACAAATTACCCAAACCCAGCCTTGCTCCGAAAGTGGTCTAATTTTTTGATTTCACCACTAGAAGGATGAACAGGGAAGTGAAACGATGACCTCTTGTTATGTTTTAAGGTCTTTACACACCAGAGGCAAACTTCACATGCCATTTTCTCACACATCAACAATAATAATTTTCAAACAGATGTTCTGTCAATGAGCCATTGCACATCAATGTCAGAATATCGCTGAGCGAAAAAGCCATAAAGTGCACGGCGAACTGCTCAGCTAAACTTATCTGCAGAACCAGCACCTACAGGTCATCGTCATTTGATGTAGACTTAAGTTTTTCTAGCACAACCTTTTAGAGTGTTACATTGCATGTTTGAACACGTGGTGCGTTTACATCGTCTCCAAAGAATTAGCCATTTCATACTGTTTATTCACATCACTCTTGGTGTGAAAAGACCTGTAGCGACAAAACAAACAAGAAAATGACTTAATGTCTCCTTTTTAAGTTTGTATTTAAAACTCGCTTTTTTGCTATTGTTGATATGTAGCTTTGGTCAAATACCGTTTTCTGCTCCCACCAAGAGAAACAAGGACAGTGTTTTTTATGTTTTCGGGAGCTGATGAATCACCAAGAGGATGAGGCGGCTTTTACCCTCAAAACTAAAACATAATTGACTATTTTAATGTCAGAATTGCATCATTTGCACACATCTGTTTACTGAAATGTAATGGGGAGAACAAGCTTGATCTGTGGTTGAAATGAATGAAAATGTGGTGAGGGAAAGACCGACTGTAAGGTGAAATCGGTTTGTCCTCTTGGATCCATCAGTGGGGAACCAACAACATCAATTCCAGAAAACATAAAAAGCATTCTTTCTTTTGCTGCCAGCAGAAAACTCTACACCAAAGCATTCAACAAATCCACTTTGTTTTACAAAAAAAAAAAAAGAAAAAAAAGGCAGAAAACTGAATTTAAGTCCTTTTCTTGTTTTTCCCCCATTTTGTCTGTAAAACAAACTCTCATTTCTGGTGGTGAAACCAAACTCTCAAAAGGTGAAGTCTGGTGACAGTTCATATTAGGCCTAAGCATTGGCAGTTTTGACCACATTACTGGGAGAACTGGTTGCTGTTTTTTTGTGCGTGCGTGTGTGTGTGTGCGCGTACAAGAATCAGTATTATTACTGTTGCTTGTACATTTAAAAAGGTGTTAAGGAAAATATTCTCAGAACTATTAGACTTGTACATAACAAATTAATCTAGACTTTTCAAATGTTTTTGTAAAGCAGAAAACCTGCATGTATTAATTTATTGTCTTCTATGATGATGTATACAGTTTCTTAAAGAAAGAAACTTATTAAAAAATTGAGTTTATATGTTCCTTTGTCCTTTTTCCTAACAGGTTTTGTGCAGAGAAACACGCACCACATGTTTATGTATGACCTCCTGCCCTTTTCCCTGTAGCTGTATGGAAGTACATCCCCACTAATACATTTCAGGGTGCACAAGCCACATATTGAGCACTACTCAGTTTGCAACTCAGCAATTGTGAGCACACAGATTTTTAAGTGCAGAATCAGGTTTGAAAGCATGATCTCGAGCCATGCTTGTACTTGTCTAGTTTTGCTCTCTCCAATTGCACCACTGGGACAAAGTCTGTCTGTGCCAAAAGTTATGAAAGCGCACAAAACAAGATGCAAGCTCTACTCAGTTTGCAAATCAGAATTTGAGAGCGTGCTGGCACCGATTTGTAAGAGCAGAAGCTGATTTGAGAATAAGGGAGAATCCCTGCTGTTTGCTCAAATCTCTTTCCTCACTCAGTTCTGTCTGCTCTTACAAATCAGTGCCTGTGCGCTCTCAAATTCTGATTTGCAAACTGAATAGAGTTTGCAGCTTGTTTTGTGCATAGTCAAAACTTTTTGCAAACACTTTTCACACAAAACCAAATGGAAAAATCTGAGGACAAAATCAAACAAGTAGGTGCATGGCCAGGATTACACTCCCAAATGCTGTGTTACAAACTGAGTAATGTTCAAAATGCAGTTGGTGGTCCCTCAAACATTGGGGTGGGGATTTACTTTTATAGGTTTGTCTTATTCTTTGGGGAGAGCTGGAAATATGGAAAGTCTTAAATCCCAAAGGTCTGCAATAGGTTTACAGTTCAGTCATGTGGAGATGGTGCATGCCACAGTATTAGTGCCTAGAGGAATTAAGAGTATGTCCTAGTGGATTCTGGGAAATCATCTCACCTCTGGTGTCACTACAGTGTGTGCATCGGGGTGCCGCAGTATTTATGCCACAAGTCAATGGCCTTAGTGACTATGGCATCTGTGTTTTCCTGTGGTATCTGGAAGGGAAAAGTAACGTCATGTTATACAAAGGCACTTACAATGAGGCAGCAAAACTATGCAGCTCAACTCACATTGCACAGAAACTTGACCACGCCTTCAGGCCAGTTGATGCCCATCAACCTGATCTTGTAGCTCAGCAGAATCTCCAGGGCAACAAACACCAAAATCTTACAGGAGCCACTGATCACTTTATCCCACACCCTGAAGAAAATTAAAGAGCTCATTTAAAGTCAGGAGGACTTTGTTGTTTTCATCATGGATGGAAAAGGTGAGGGCTCAGGTAAAATGTTAGTCTAGGCTGTAATGTGGAAACACGCTACCAGTCAAAAGCGAGGGTTCAGCTCAGTTTTTCCAGTTATGACAGTGAAACAGTTCAAATCCAGTGACTAAATGGTACAAAGCTAAGACAAGCAAAAGGGTCACCAGAAACCACAAATATATGTACATTTCATACAAAGCCAGCCTTGTTTGTGTTAATTGCTTTATCCCTGAAAAAGGCCTGTTTTACACCACATTTACTACATTACTAGTTTTGGCAACACATTTTTACCTGTATCACTTATTGTTTTACCTTGTTTTCTCAGCTTTTCACCATTTAAGGTTATTCACTACACTTGCACCTCTTCTCCACAACTGCTAACATGGTGGAGCAGCTTCTCACATTTATATATCAATCTATCAACAGTTAAATAAGACAGAAGTTACATATAAACAGACGCCTTGGGAAGTTAACTTCATGGTACAAGTAATGACTAGAACTACTGCTTTGCGATTGTATACCTCCACCAACCAGTCAAATTCTAAATATCCTAAAAGAGTACCACAGTGGGCTTCCACTGTATGGATCCCTGCTGCACTCTGGCTGAGTTAAACTATGCCACAAAGGCGATCAGGTTTCTCTAGTGAACAGTGGACTGACCTCTGCAGGCTGCTTTCAGGCAGGC